GGTGATGCTGAATTATTCCGTGAATACTAGGACAAGGAGATGCGTGTAACGTATGTTCTAGATACAAAGTAAAGTAACGCTAACGAGAAGTATCCAGATATTATTGAGAGGGCGAGAGAGAGGGAGAGAGATATATCAGTTGACATTAGTGCGTGAGGATTAAACGGCGTTATCCAAAACGCTTTCGGTTGAATTTTATGGGACTGAAGGGGGGAAATCTTTGAAAACGTTTCTGTACCAGGGAAAACGATTCGTCCGATTCACAGTGTGCGGAGTTATTCTTTAATTTTGACGACAAAAGTAGGAAAACGATGGCATTGCGGCAGAGATATCAGCAGATAATAGTTCCTAAACGATGTTTCTAACTTAAGGAAAACGATACGATGCAATATTTATTTAATTACAAAGAGAAATGTGTACATGTCGATAATTTGGACATCTTGGAAAGCAGGAGGGAATTTCATTCGTACATTTATCATTAAAATAATAATGAAGGTTTGGCATACATATGAATGGTTCGAAACGAATTCGCTCCTGCATGCTGGAGCATGGTATCACAACATATATCACCATTTATTATAATTTTTTTTATTCAATATCGTTCTACATGTGTTGGTTGGGTAGTTTCTGCTCAGATGTTTTTTATACTGCAGGAATACGTGAACCATTCGTACTCTCTTCGGATGCACAACTCTGAAACTGCTAGAAGTGGTAATTTTCTGTTACTGGAATATATCGCGCGCTCGTGTTTCCAAAGGTGCATCATGGTACGTTTAAGTAGAGAAAGGTGGGGCAAACGGGGGTGGAAAATACTATGTTTCAGCTGAGAACTGGGCTAAAGAACTCGTGTAAATCAACGTGCAGTAATAAGCTGTTCACAGTTAGAATCTTAAAACTGGATCCTGATACGTAATCCCACCGAGTCCGCTTCGCGATGAAGACACTTTCTGAATATTAAGAGAATAGTATTTTCAATGAGAAATATGTATGTAAGCGTAATGAGAGAGAGAAAAGGTAATCATTTAACATGCTGAACAATTCATGTTATGTAAATATTAGACGTATTTGTGGGAGAACTTTCTTTGGGGATGGGCTATGCAAATTTTATGTAAGCTGCAGGACTGAAGCTGTGCATACCTGTATATCGCAGTGGATGAGATTATTCAAACGGAATTACTTCTTGACGCTGGACCGTGTGTGCTATTCGTTCTTCTATATATAGTAGCAGCAAGATATACTTCTACGGTTTCAGTACTAAAAATGAATGCAAGCATATCGTGTTTATTGACAAGCATGGTAATTTGTGCAAGGCCCTTCACAGTTTCGTTTCTCATGATTATATAGAAGTATTCAAGATGATTCGGATATACTCGTCCAAGGAAGAAGCGAGAGAGAGAAGAAACGTGTGTGTGCATCACAAAATCGATTCCCTTTAAATTATATCGTAATAGTATCTTATCTTCATAAGGTATTTTAGATATCAACCAGGTGATGCATTTTGATATATTTTCTTTAGTACATATGCATAATTTACTTGCTAGACATTTCTGTGTATATATATCACATCGTGTGAAGAAATTTTGTTGGTAGGTTAGGGCGGGAGGGGGGGATATAACAATTTACTTTTTTTTCACAGACCATATTAGGAGATGGACGTCTGTTCCGAAGTTTTATTGTGAGATCAACTGAAGCATGACAGAGTATTCCTATATAGCGTTAAACTCGTGAATATGTATAGATGTTGTATGTGTTGTTTGTCATTTGGTCAGCAAGTTAGGATAGTGTTCGTATGTTTAAACAACAAATTTGGGGAATGCTTATTGGAGAGTGGATTTTCCTGGTTTTCCCTTCAGACGGTACAAAGGAAACGCCACGTTTTAATTCGAATTTCATAAAACAGTCCTCTCTGATGGGGTACAGTTCAGAGAACGTGTATGTATGTATTGCCCACATGAATATTATTTTAATTACGCTGTTAGGAAGAAGATGTTGCATTCGATTAGCACAAAGAACTAATAATATCTACTACACTCCTCTGGATGAATTTCCATCATGCTTGAAATACGAATATATGGCAAGTCGTTACAAAATAATAGCTTGTGCTTTATAAATGCAAAGTAATGCATAGACGAATAATTATGCACATGAACATCCTCCCGGCTTCTATCAGGTAATGGCCCCTAACTATAATTTTAATTGGACTTTTTCATCATGTAAAAGAGAATTGACATAACCATTGCAGATTCAGTACTCCTTGTAGAATTCTTTGCACAATAACGTTCATAAATGTTGTGACTAAAATTGTTCCTTAAACACATGATTATCATGATTCGAAAAAGACAGTCTCTTATTGCATAGAAAGATTCGAAAATGTATGACTACCGGAAATTGTTCTATTATGGACCGAACATGCGTTAAATTGTTTTGAGAACGAAATGCATATCAGTCGTGGAAATAGTATTTACCAAGTGCACAGAACAATCATAAAATAGTAGTGCAGTGAATCCTTGCTACCCGCTAATGCGCTTGTACATTGAACTGTTGTTGTTGTGCTAAAATTTATAAGAACACAATTATGGAGAATGCAGCAGCTCAAGCTTTTACGATAACAAAGCATACACTGAGTGTGTGAATGATGCTTGGTAAAATAGCCTCTACATAACGTTGGATAATCTAAAAGTATGTTAGCAAAATGGTTTTTAATCACTATGAGACTTCGGTGAGTGAAGTAAGTGTTCAACGTGTACTTGAAACAGCGAGGAGTTCTTTTATAGCCAATGTTTAGAATAACATAAAATGGCATTAGCTTCTTTTATGATTTGTTGTTGTAATGCTCAAGTGTTACGTTTTATGCTTTGATGATGGCTTTCCTTGATTCAGTTAGAATGTGCTCTAAACTTTACTTCCACAGTTAATAATTACTATTGACGTGTGTATGATTCTAAATGGGCACATGATTAGGCGAAGAGACAAAAGGACAGTGCATTAGCCCAATGGAAATTGATTAAGGAATAATATCTTAATGATATAAACATTGTTCGTAATTGTTAGCAATTACATGGATAACAATTGGATACTACTTCAATGAAATGATTAGGATGAGTTAAATCTTAAAGAAGCTGTATGAAATTCAAACACAATTCGTTTAAAGGACACAAATTCAAGAAATTGGTTAGTTTGTTCCAAAGCAATTTTGAATTCATTTGGAACTCTATCATGGGTATTTGTAGGCGTGAATTTTTTTACTTCCGTCTATCCGTTTCGAAACAGCTAACCAAGTGTTTTAGAACCCGTTTTCCGAGTATCGAGATCGGGCCGATGAAGAGGGCGAGAGATTTGCTGTAGCAGGATCGAGTAATACACTTCTGAAGTCTAAAATAAGCGGGTTCTTCCACCCTTCAGCGATCTGCGTATGGAGTTAGTCTATTGGCTTGTCGCTCTGTGATTCTATCGATAGTTGGATATATATACCATCATCTTGGAAAAGTTTGGAATGGGATTGTAATGAATATGCACTCGACTTTCTGCTATGGTCTGAGATGGCAAGGATGAGTGACGCGGCGGCGGCGGCGGTACATTGTTCCGTACAATATCAGTACAAAAGGAGAGGAGAGGAGAGAACGGACTCTTGGGAGGCTGAATAATTCATTCGTGTTCGTTGCTGGATTGCGAATTGCTGTTGCATATAAACCCGAAAGCCGGTTCGAGACGCCATGCGTTTTCTTTTCGAGTTTTCAACAGGCTCTGATGGATGCTTTTCTGCGGTTTGATGGGACGCGAGAAGTCGTCGATGCAGAGTTCCAGCAGAAACGTCTATTTCTTTTTTATATAAAAGTAAGGAGTTGTACAACACAAGTATGTTTGAAGTACGTTAAGTCCGGAAACAAGATTAATCGGGGACGTATTTGTTTTCAGATTTAATTGGTAAATGCTGCGATTACATGTTGGGGTTAATGATTACTTTCTGGCATGAAAATTTTACGATGCTTCTAGTTTTTCTTAAATTTTCTCGTAATAGCAAAAATTAGATCGACACAAATTTAAGAATTTAGACAAACTGGGATGCAAGTAAAATTATTTACCTTACTAATAATATTGAATAGGATCGTATATCCAAATTGTATAAGGTCACTACAAAAAATCAACATGAAGATGCGCAACAGTTATGAGAATACTTGTAAAATCAGTATTGTTAAAAGGAGAAATTGCCAATTCTTTTAATGCACATTTGGAGTTCAAATCGAATGGCCTATTGACCGACACGAGAAATGTGATGACGGGGAAATATCAATCTCAAACTTTATTGGATATACTATAAAATATGCGTGAAACTTTCGGCAGCATAAAAAAAAGCTTTGTAATAGTACTTTGTACTTCTTGAGTATAAGAGAAACCATTGGTACATGATATCTTGGGATGAAAAAAAACTATTGCATGAAAAAATTGTCAACGTGGGACTTCGTTGTATGGAGAAGAAGAAACAATCGACGCGGGACTTCGAGGGATGGAGAAGAAGAGGACTTCATGGACTGGAGAAGAAGAGGACTTCGAGGGATGGAGAAGAAGACGACTTCATGGACCGGAGAAGAAGAGGAC